TACGTCATCATTGCGATTGATCGCGCATTCATGCATTGCTAGTTGATATGAAAAGACCCTGCGTCAGCGCGGTTTTATACTAAATCTCACGTGCGACGCCTATCCGATTTCTGCATCGGAGGGTTATGGGATGACTATTGAAGGGACTAGGAGTATGGGCGTTGTTTGTGTTGTTGTGTATGTGTGCGTGCATATGTTTTATTACTATGTTCCTAGTGTAATGTGTGTATGCGTGGTATGTAAAGTACGTCCTAGTCGACCGACGTCGAGTCGCGCTTGGGAGCTCAGCCCCCCAAAATGTCGGTTCACGTGCGGGTCCGATAGAGGCGTACCACCACGCGTACCCCCTATGCTACAACGTACGAGAAACGCCTTCGGCTGGCCCACCTATGCGATTGCAATTGATTAACTTTTGTATTGTGGACCGGTAGCTCGGCGGGGATACGCCCTCCGAAGGGAGGTGACAACTCCCATAAGGTGGAGGTAAGTCGTGCCTCGCGTTGGCCCTATCCTGTCGTACGGGCTTGCGAGAGGTATGGTTGGCGCACTCGGCCGGAGCGGCTTAAGGAAACTCCATTAACTTCTACGTGACGCGGCCGGGAGGGTCCCGCTGCCTTGCGCGGTGCTGGACCCATGCGCTCGACAGGGGGCGCCGTTGTCGGGGATAACGGTTGCCTGTCGTTGTCCCAGATGGAACGACATCCGGGTACGGGATTGTGAGAACTAGGCAAAATGAGAAGCTATCTTTGGACGTATATGGTTGGTTGCTTGATATTTTGACTATCGTTGAAGATATCTTAAAATTGTGGCCTAAGGGTGAAGTGCTGAATTCAGGGAGCACCCTGTCAGCCTAATTGTTTTTAGGTGGTTGGGTGCTGCGTGGCATGCCCGATGCAGTCTAGGTTGAGTTGAGCCAGCATCAACATTGTTGGGTGTGTCCAGTACTAAAGCAAACTCTGTTAGTAACTGCCAAAACTATCTGGTCAGCTGACGTATTACGTGAGTGTTGTGCGAAGCCTGTTTTGGGAAGTAGAGACGTTAAGTTCAAGCGTCCTTCCCTGGTCAATAGATCCTTGTTTGGGAAGTAAAGACGTTAAGTTGAGGCGTCCTTCCCTGGTCAATAGATCCTTGTTTTAGAAGTAAAGACGTTAAGTTGAGGCGTCCTTCCCTGTTTTAGACGTAAATTGTTAGGTTTGCACGAAAATTTTTAAAGATTCTGATAATACTTTTTTCAGGCCTCCTACATGAACAAAATTTTATGTGAACTAAATAAACCGCAAAAAAGGAATAGAAAACTACTTTTTTAGAACCACTAGAAGTGATGAGGAGAGAAGAAAGTTTTTTTACAAAAAATAAGTACCTTGCAAAACACCGTTAATTCAAGAACTGAAATATCATAATATTTTGTTTAACTAAAAAAATCATATTTACAATTTTGTAAGGTATGTATCACGACGAACCTATTCGGGGATTTCCCAAACAGGCACACATGCTCTCGTATTCACGAATACGTTTGCTTGGATATATTCTCTCATATATGAACGAATTTCACTTTTTAATTTTAAATCATTGTTGGCTAGGAATTTGAAAATGTCCTCCAGGCAAAAGTTGTTTTAATTCTTCTTTTACACAACATATACTTTTTCACAAGGGTTTTACAGTTAACTTAAAAATGGAGTTATATTAATTTATAGTTTTATAAACCCGATTTCGCAGAATATGGTATTTTTAAATATTGTTTTTATTTTGTAATTTAAAATCATCGTTGGCAAGGAATTTGAACATGTCTCCCAGGCAAAAGTTGTTTTAATTCTTCTTTTACATAACATATATTTTTTGACAAGGGTTTTACGGTTAACTTAAAAATGGAGTTATATTAATTTATAGTTCTATAAACTCGATTTCGCAGAATCAGGTTTTTACCAAACTGCTGAAAAGGACTTATAGTTCTATAAATGAGTATTCACTGAAACTATTTTTTTTAACATCTTTCGGATTCGCCTTGTAGTCGTTAAAGATTGTCTTGTTTGAGCTATGTTTTTTGTCAATCTACTGAGAACGACTTATAGTCCTATAACATGCTCTTTGTTGGAAAGAATTTTCTTGCACATTTTGAGAATCGCTAGATTTTTTGCCTGTTTTTTTGCCTCCTTTTTTGCCTTCTTTTTTGGGAAACAGTTACAAACGCTCTCTTTTATGTATAAAAAATAACAGTTTGACTTTTACTTTTTTATTATATAAAAAATATTAGGTTTTGTGATTTTGTTAGGTTTTCACGAATTCGGTTTTCGTAGCCGTTCACGAGCTTCGCGCGAGTGCCCTCTACTGAACACAGAAATATTAGCGAGACACTTTTTTTAAAGAAGCAACAATTGTGGAGATTTATTTCAAAGTGATTTAGGTCATTTTCCAAAGATTTGTCCCTTAGGCATTTCTAAGACCTAGGTTTCAAAGTAGCAATTTCTAGTACTTCTTGGCTCGTTCTTGCGGGTTAGAAATGGTGTCACCACTCGCCTTTTTCTCTCGTCTTTATGCGTCACAGTCTATAGAACTATAAACGGAATGAAGAATTCTGAAGCTAAGATGGTTTTTTGCGTTCCAATTTATAGGACTATAAATACGCAAATGTCAAGATGTCTGGCTTCGGTATAAGGGCACACATTTTCGGAGTGCTCCTTTGTTTTCTTTTTTCTCGCATGTTTGTGCGTCACGGTTTATAGAACTATAAACCGAATGGAGAATTCCGAAGCTGACATGGTTTTTTGCTTTCCAATTTATAGGACTATAAATACGCAAATGTCAAGATGCGTGGGTTCGGTACAAGGGCGCACATTTTCGGAGTGCTTCTTTGTTGTTTTTTTTTCTAGTGTGTCTTTGCCGCTTGCTTTATAGAACTACAAACGGAATTCGGGATGCCTGAACTGTATCTGTTTTCTGCTTCGTTAATGAAAGGACTCCAAAGGTGCATATGCCAAGACATCCTGCTTTCGTGCAATGCAATATATTTTGGAGTGATCGTTGTCCTGCGTGGGTTTTCTTAACTTTCCTCTAAGTTTGTAAGTGGTATCTAGTGTTGTGGAATGAATTGTCATATTTGCGCGGTTTCAACAGAGCAAAGAATTCATTTCTTGACTACAAGTGGCTTTTGGGATCACTTGTTGACCTACTTTTGTATGTGATAAAAATGAGGCTCCGGGGACAAACTTTCGTCTCATTAATCACCTTCTTCTAACAGGAGGCTTGATTTGGTATGTTTTTCATCACTAGGTGCGACATACAACGTGTAAAAGTAGCACCAACGGAGCGAAAATGAGTTGAAAAATTTTGGTTTTCTCCGGTCCATAAAGATTGTTTGGTTTTCACGAATACTATGATGACATGGATTGTGCATGAAACCCACATCTGGCATGGGACCCGAGGTGAATGGGGTGACTCATCTCTGGAGAAGGTGGTTCTTTCTGAAGGGAGTCAGTGAACGTTAATGACGTGTCCTCAGCGGAAGTGCATTCTTGAATCGTTACCCCCCATATTGAAGCTTAAGGAAGCAATTATCAGTCTCAAGGATGATAGTAAGACCCACGCCGGAATTGTGTTCCTGGTCCATTAGTGGGGTGTTACCTTTCCTATGATAGGAGAGTAACTACATTATCTGTTGAGAGATGAGGAAAGGGCTTGTTGCCTTGCCAAAACTATGATGGTCAAGTGGAACAACTACTGTTTAGTGAGAGCGGTTCTGGAGTAGCGACCAAAACTCGTCTCGCATGAAGCAGGGCCATCATATCTGTAAGGACGCGAATTCGTTGTTTGTTGCCCTGATAGGTATGAATGGGGTTGTCCATCTGACCATGATTAGGATCAGTGAGGTGCAAGCGCTGAAATCAGAGAGGGTTGAGGTGAGGCTTGACCTTTAGAGCGGGGCTCAGGAGTCAAGATGTTATCTCATGAGGATTACACCGTCCCTCTGTATTGTATGCTTCGCTTAAGAGTTGAAGGGGTAGCAATTGTATCATGATTAACTACTCAATTTGCTAGTCTCTTTCTCTCTTTCTCTCTTTCTCTCTTTTTTTTTTTTTTTTTTTTTTTTTTT